CTAAAGCTTAAGGAGATTCAGAGACTCACTCAACTAGATGCAACTTATTATAAGAAAAAAAGAGGACACTATGACTTAAAAAACTCCCTTCTTGAAGCTGCTTTATTGTCTTGTCACTGTAGTTTAGTTTACATTTTCTAAAATTTTATGTTAGTGGAATCATCTAATATGGACTTTTTTGGGTCTAGTTTTTTATTTTTTACCTCAGCATAATTATTTTAAGAGCTATTAATGTAATTAATTGTATGTCATACCAGTCCATTTCCTTTTTATTGCTGAATACGATGTCATTGTATGGATGTACCACAAGTTCTTTATACATTCTCTAGTTGAGGGACATTTAAATTATTTACCTTTTGGAGCTATCATAAATAGTGCCAATATCACAAGAGATGTAACAGCTGTGAAGGGGCTATAGGACCCAAAGAAGATGCATATTCCAAAGTCAGGTGACAGAAAGTATTTCATCCAGGAAAATAAAAGATTCACCCCAAACATATGGGAATGTATCCCAGTACAGTCACTCTAGCCTTACAAGATGATTAACAGGTGTGCACCCTTAAATTTCATCAAGAAAACATCTATCTAAATATAAATGGTGTATGATACATTCATGTTTTAAAAATCTAATATGCAAAGAAAAAAAGATCTTAAAAAGGCAGCAATAAAACTGATGTAAACAACTACAACAGTAGCTAACTTGAGCATTATCTACAAATCAGGCACTATGCTGAGCTTTATAAGATTTACATATAGCCACATGCAGTGGCACACTTCTGTAATCCCAGCAGCTCAGGAGCATCACAAATTCAAAGCTGGCCCTAGCAAGTTAGTGAGGCCCTAAGCAACTTAGTGAGACCCTGTCTCAAAATAAAAAATAAAGGGGCTGGGTATGTGGCTCAAGTGGGAGTGCACTTGCCTAGCATGCATGAGGCACTGGGTTCGATCCTCAGCACCACATAAAAATAAAATAAAGATATCGTGTCCACCTAAAGCTAATAAATAAATAAATAAATAACCCCTGGGTTCAATATCTGGTACCAAGAAAAAAAAAAAAAACCAAAACATCATATGTAGCTGCCAGGCCTGGTTACCAAGAGCTGAGGCACAAGTATCCCGAGTTCAAAGCCAGCCTCAGCACTTAGTGAGACCCTGTCTCAAAATAAAACGTAATAAGGGGCTGGGGATGTAGCTCAGTGATAAAGCACTCCTGGGTTCAATCCCCGTACCACACACATACACACAAAAGATATAGATATATTGCAAAGTGATCATGCTCTCCATTTTACAAGTGAAGAAACCAAAGGCAAAGAGGAGTTAAGAATGTGGCCCTAAGGTCCTATAGCTATAAGAGGTAGAGTCAGATTTGCCTGACTCCAGACATGTGTTTCAAGGCTACGCTAATTCACTGTTTTCTCTTCAGGTCTCACGTGCTTTCCAGCTGGCTTAGAAGATACCTTCTTTGAGCCAATGATACTATCACTTAAACCACACTACTACTCTGTTTTTAATTTTGTACACATCAAGTAACTTTCTAATGTTTACTTGTTTATAACAGCCTATTTTCTCTATGGAAAAAAAGCATCCTCAATTTTCTTAACCAGCCACTGCTTTCCTGAAAGTATGGCTCAACTTCAATCGAGTCCCTTCCAATAATCACAAATTCTGGATAAAGTTTTAATATCTGTGACTTCATCTCAATTATTTCTATATGAAACTTGAAGGAAAGGAAGGAAGACAGGCCAGTCACAGGATAGAAGACAGAAAAAGGAGACAAAAACTACACAAATATGTATGTGTGCATGTGTGCTACATACATTGCTGGATGATCTGGGCTTAACTCTACAAAAGGGGAGAAAAGTTTTATCACAGCAAATATGTCAAAGCCTGAAAGTCCCAGAAGTACCTCCCAAAGAGGATTATGATCACCTCAAGTTAGAGCCAAACTTCAAAAGAAAATTCACAGTAAGCAGTGCAAATGTCAAATTCTGGTTGTTTTATTTTTGTTTTGTTTTCCAGTACTGGGGATTGAATATCTGAGCTACATTCCCAGCCCTTTTATTTTTTGAGACAGGGTCTTACTAAGTTGCTTAGGGCCTGGCTAAATTGCTGAGGCTGGCCTTGAACTTGTGATCCTCCTGAGATTGCAGGCATGTGCCACCCACTGTGCCTGCTGTTTATTTGGTTTTGTTTCTTGTTGTGCTGGGGTTAGAACCCAGATTCTCATGCATGCTAGGCAAGTGCTCTACTATTGAGCAACATCCCCAGCCCAAACTCTGGTTGTTTTTATGGTGTATTTTGAGCAGTCAACAGGGCTCCATGTGAATATTGATGCCTTTCCACAAAACCATGTGAATATTGATGCCCTTTCCTATGTGCCTGTCCTACTGCAACCATGTGGAGCTCATCAACATTTGATAAAGATAACAGCAAAATGGCCCTTTTAGTACTCTGAAATATATCAGACCACCACAGAAGATACATGCTGAAAGCAGGCATTAAAATTACCTAATCAATCCCCTTCTCTCAAAGATGAGAGAAATGAGGCTAAAAGGGTGATTTGAGCAACATGTACAAAGTGGAAAGGACTTAAATGAAATATCTTATTTAAAAGCAGAGAGTTAAAGAAAATCAAATCAAAGATAATCAAAACCTTTTAAGAAGAAAAATGTCTTTTAGTTTCTTTTTTACCCAAAATGTCACAAATTACACTCTCTCCTTCTTGCAAAAGATGGCTTACATCATGTCAAATTAGATCTTTTCTCAGATACATACTAATTGCTTCAGGCAGACACACTACCATACTGTTCTTTTATATTCAACTCTAAGTCCCATCATCTAACTGAAGCATTTTCACAACTAATTATTGCTAAAACTCAGCAAGATAAGTATGCTTATTAATTCCATCCCTTTAGAAAAAAAAGTAGAGGTAGCATAATCTAAATGTAAAGTGACCCTTCTTTTAGAAATTAGATAATGAAATGAACATGACAGTGGACACCTTGAATCTGAGCTACTTGAGATCCTAAGGCAGGAAGATCCCATATTTGAGGCCAGCCTGGGCAACTTTGCAAGATCCTGTCTTAAAATGAAATATAAAAAGGGATGGGGAAATAGCTCAGTGGTAGAGCACTTTCCTACCATGTTTGAGGCCCTGGATTCAATCTCCAGCATCAGAACCAAAGAAAAAAAATTAAAAATGAGAATTAAATACTTCAGAATTTTTATTATTTCTAAGACCCTCCAAAGGAGGGGATACCAGCTATATATTTATATTTTTAAAATGATTAACCTGCAACACAAAGCCCTGCCAGTGGTTCTCAGCAGTGCTCACTGGTAAGCACAATGCATCTCAGAACAAAGGAAATGTGGAATACATATTTTTGAAATATCTGTCTTAAGGAACTTCATTTGTATTTCAATATCTTTAATCAAGAGGAAAAGGAGCTGGGTGCAGTGGCACATGCTTGTAATCACTGCAGCTCGGGAGACTGAACCAAGAGGATCATGAGTTCAAAGCCAGCCTCAGCAAAAGTGAGGCACTAAGCAACTCAGTGAGACCCTGGCTCTAAATAAAATACAAAATAGGACTGGGGATGTGGCTCAGTGGTCAAGTGCCCCTGAGTTCAATCTCCAGTACCAAAAAAAAAAAAGGAAAAGGAATAACACAGCCTTAGATTTACCAAGTGTTTCTCCCATATGTATATAAATCAGTTTGACTATCTGGGAGGATGAGAGAGGACAATCTGATCTCACTCACTTGATAGAAGAGAAAATTTCAATTCTGAGATATTCAATGGTCCTTGTGACTGTCAATTTCTATTCAGAGACTATTCTTCTGTAAAGCTATTTGGTCTACAACACTAGAAAGAGACTTGATGCTAGCTAGATATTTTTTCCAGTGTTAACTGATATAATACATAATAACTGATATAATATACATATTATATTATATACATAATATATCATGACTTTCTGGTATATAATTTTTGTTGCTCTAGTACTTAACCCAACAATTATACTAGTCAAAACAAATTTTAACCTACAAAGCTACTGACACCTATAACATGCAAATTTCACTAATGTGGGAGACCCCTGGATGTTCAGCTTAAAATACATGTCAGCTATTTGCCCATAATGAGAAGATTCTGAGTTATGTATGAATTAATTGATTTATCCATTCACATTCTCTTCCCTACTCCTCCCACTTAATCTCCTTCCTTCATTGCCCCACTTTAATGATGTAGAGTGAGAGCTGGCAAATATTTTCTGAAAAGGGTCAGATAGTAAATAGGGTAGGCTTTGTAAGATCTGCTTTGTAGCACGAAAGGAGCTTCAGACAATCTATAAATGAATGGGTGTGACTATGTTCCAATAAAATGTTATTTACAAAAACAGGCACTAAGAAACAAAATGCAGGGCTGGGATCCTGGCTCAGTGGTAGAGCACTCGCTTAGCACATGCGAGGCACTGGGTTTGATCCTCAGTACTACATAAAAATAAATAGGTAAAATAAAGGTATTGTGTCCAACTACAACTAAAAAATATATATATATTAAAAAGGGAAACAAAATGCATTCTGCTGTCATGTATAACTAATTAGAACAAACTTAAAAAATAAAAATAAATAAAAAACCAGGCATTAAGCCAGATTTGACTTACTGGGCTATAGTTTGCCAACTCTGCCACGGAGTCATAACTTTAGCCAACACAGAATCATGTACAGGACTTCTTAATACACAGATTTCTGGGTCCCATCCTTAAACTGATTAAGTAGGTATGTAGAAGAGCTGGAAACTTTGCATTTTTAATAATTTCCTAAGGGAGGCTGATGTGTTAATCCCAAGGACCACACTTTTGAGAACTACTGGTATAGAATAATGGCCGACACTACGTTCAATGAAAGGTTGAAATATAATGAACAGTTAATAAGAAAGGTGGAAATCATATGTTGCAAACATGATTGTTGTTTTTACAGAATATTTCATATAAGGACTTACTGTTAAGTGCCATAATATTATCTGTTCCCGGATGGTGGAAATTTATTCCCATGCGACCTAAAAAATAAAGTAATTTTATTTTAAGCCAAAGAAAAGAAAACTCAGTATAATAATTTCAGATACATTATAAAATATTAACATTACAAAAAGTTAAAACAGATCAATCTATAACAAAAATGCTACCAAAGGCCAAAGCAATTGCAATTTTGTAAATCAAGTCATAAAACATACACATGAAAAGTCTTAAAACAAAGGCAAAGTCTCAATACAAATAAAATACAACAAAACAAAAAAGAAGCTTCTGTTATAATAGTCTGAAATTTTCACATCTTCCACATTCCAATTTGAACATGCCAATTCCCTGGATTAAGAATTTAATTTAAACAATCATTCATAGTGCCTTTCAAATTCAAGCAGCCAAAAAAAAAAAAGTATATAAACTTGAAGCTTAGAGAGAATAAAAAGAAACAGGTTTCATAATGGCTCAAAATTGCAACATAATTATTAGAATGGCAACCAGAAGAAAGATAGTGAAATTTATGTAACAGAGTGGGGAAAAAATTACTGGTTTAAAAATACATAGAGTTTTTATGCTTCCCCCATCATTAACTAGTTTTATGACCTTGGGCATAATATTAATTTCCAGACCTTTATTCTTACAATTATTACAGGAGTTGAAAATTTTTGGCCATATTGGTCAGCTGCCTGTTTTTGTATGTCTCTGAGCTAAGAACTATTTTGACATTTTTAAAGGGTTGCAAAATCAAACAAAAACAAATAATAATATGCGACAGAGGCCATGTGGCCTATAAAGCCTAAAGTATTTACTTTTTAGCCCTTCACAGAGTTTCGAAACCTCTGGTCTACTAGATGATGAGCTGGAATCAGAAGTTTCAACTAATGACCCTTAGGGATAAAAGTGAAAGATGTAGATATTTGATTTTTTTTCATTTGTTATTTGAGACCAAGAAGTGGATATATCAATAGAAAAATTACACAGTATCTTGTATGGGGGAAAGTGTACTTGGTAAAATTTTTTGACCAATTCTTTCAACAAAACAGTTATTAACACAACAGTTTTTAAAGCTAATATGTATAAACTTGGTTCTACAAGGTTTTGTTTTGTTGCTGTTCTGAGGACTGAATTCAGAGAATCACTCTACCACTGAGCTTTTTTTGTTGTTGTTGTTTTTGTTTTTTGGTACTGGGAATTGAACCCAGGGGTACTTTACTACTGGGTTACATCCCAGCCCTTTTTAAAATTTTTTGACACAGAGTTTCCCAAAGTTACTTAGGGCCTCAGTAAATTGCTGAGGTTGGCCTCGAACTTGCAATCTCCTGCCTCAGCCTCTCAAATTGCTGGGATTACAGGCATGTACCACTATACCTAGCTCTTTGAGGTTTTAATGTCCAGTTATGTCAAGGATTATGAAATTCTCAGAAAATGTTAACTCTATTTCACAACCACTATTTAAATTTAAAAATGTCAAGCATATATGTGGGGAGAAAACAGTTATTAACAGAAAGCTGGAGATAAAGTAAAAGCGATCGATTTTTACAATGAATATGATTTTATACATAATTGCAAGAGACAATTATTACTTGGTATTAAACTCTGTTATTGAAGATTAGAGGAAAAACAGCATCATCAAGCTCTTCTGGCCCAAAAGAAAAGCATCACAGATGAAGAAACAGAGCAGTTGCCTCGAATAAAAAGGAGGAATTATAAATTACTAGGGAAAAAATTATGTTTTTTTAACCTAAACAAAACATCCTAATTTCTTAAATATTCTATGATAATTTGTGAAAGGTCATTTCATACTAAGAATTAGTGAAGGGCTGGGGGTGTAGCTCATTGGAAGAATACTTGCCTAGTGTGTGCAAAGCCCTGGGTTTAATTCTCAGCTCCCTCAAAACAACAAAAAGTGTATAAAAATCAAATCCCTCAGAAGTGTAGGTGTATCACTTGCATTGGTGTGTGTGTGTGTGTGTGTGTGTGTGTATGTAAGAACAGAAAAATCATCAACAATTTATGAATTCTAATAAAATTTTTCTAATTTGCCAGTAAGCATTTTACAGGGATTTCAATAAAAATGATTTTGTTTTTATTATTTTAAATCTTATTAGGACAAAGAATATTGCAATTGTCCTAGTTTTGTGGAGACTATCTTGCTAGCATTTATAATATACTAAAATTCCTATTCAGAATCCATTATAATGGTTTTGACAGAAAATCCATGCCTATTTTTATAGATTTCAGACCTTTTCGTATTTATTAGAAGCTAATTATTAGAAATTTCAAAAAGTACCCCATTGTTGGAAGATACACCTAATGTATCTACATATGCAAATGTTCCATATGCCTTGTTATGTTTTCTGATTTTTAAGTCATTTTAAAGTCCCTGAACATTATGGTTCATACTATATGTAATGAGTGCTATCTCCTACCATCACCTTCATCAGAAACTATTATAGAAGAATCTGTCACCAGAACAGGGTTTTGACTCAGTAAGAACAATTTACATTCTGGCTTCAATTAGCTATACCAGTGTTCTCTCCTCCATTATTTCCAGAATCCTGACTACCAAATACTAATATACATGAATATTAGATGTGACTCAGAGAAGGGTGTAGTTCCTACAAAGCTAGGTTCCCTAATATTACTAGAATAATAAAGGGTTATCAAAGAAATCAAGTAAAGCACAAATTCAACTGATCCTCATTCAACTTCTTTTATTCCGTATGTCTACGTTTGTAGGAAAGAATTATGTAGTTTATAGCCACTACACCAAATAACAATTTTTGTATATTTCTGGATGGACAAATATTCTCAAACTTGAAGGGGTGCTGCTTTCATCACTCAAAACTTAGATCCTTTTTGACTCTTTTCATAAGAGGTTAGAACTTTTCAGCTTAGACAGTTGAACTGGAAGGAAGCTGGGTTATTTTCTAATTATCATTCTCTGTCCTGTACTGATTACTTCCAATTCAATCTTTCTTAAGAAGCAAAACAAGAGCCTTAGGCACTGTTTTGCAGATGGAAGGCATCACTAATTGCTGAAAAGCAAAGCACTTTTTACTTTTCCTGGTATTCTCCCTAATTCTGTTTGACTTCAATGGATCTGTGGATGAAAGCTAACAACACATGCTTTTATTTAAAAAACCTTGGGGTCAATGCCAGAACCATATAACCAATTATTTAAATATAATTTAATTTTCCCCTCCAATTAAATGTAATTTTTGTTTTGTTATGTTTTGTTTTGTATTGTTTTGGTAAAATCACTTATGGATCAGAGCTGTAGCTCTGTGGCAGATTACTTGCCTAGTGAGTGTAAGGCCCTGGGTTCAATCCTCAGAACTGCAATAAATAAATAAATAAATAAATAAACTCACTTATGGCTTCTGCAAGCTAGTTACCTCTTCAAAAATTAATGTTTAGATTACAAAATGCAACAGTTTCACTGGAGATACATTAGATAGTACAGGAAAATGAAGATTTTATATCATTAAAGACAAGCACAGTTATCATTTTGATTTATACTCTTCCAATTTAGGGAGTGTGCATATGGGATGGTTTCTTTTCTAAGACTAGAATTTTTCTATATATTCTTTCTTAATATGTTGTATGTATTCATTTTTATGGTTGTTAAGGGGTTTCAGACAAGAAAGAAAATATATAACAGCAAAAGGAAAACTAGTTCCAAATTCAGATGAGGCCATTTCTTTTTTATTCCTTTTGTCCAACAAGTACTGCTGTTTAATCAGCTGTGAAAATAGAATCAAGTGTGTGACATCTGGTGATTTTTGTTAATGCAGTCTGGTGCTGCCAGTGTGACATTTTGTCACCTGTCCATGGTCTGCTATTTTTAAATTGTTCTTGTCAGCTAGCTATCTTTTAAGTATAGTGCAAAATATAAGGTTTCAAAAACTGGAAGGCATACTTGGTTTTACTGAGTTAAATGATGCTGTGGAAATCTGAGACTATGTCCCACTTTGCCTACTACATAGCACCTGATAAATAAGGTTGAGAGGGGATAGAGGGAGAATTTAGAGAAAAGGGTTATAAATGGTTATTTATACTGTAAAAGTCAGTTCCATAAGCTTAATTCACATTTATATTTTAAAATCTAGTTATTAAGACTAAAGTTTCAGAGTTCAACTAAAACTAAACTTGAATGTGTCCAAAATAAAACTTGGAATTTTTATTAATTCAAAATTAATGATGAAATTCATTTCTTTACTTGTGCAATACGTTATAAATTGGGGAAAAACTGCTGTACCTTCCTCTAATCACCACCTTCAGAGAGCTTTACATAACAACATATTAGCGCTATATTCCAAAAAAGATTATAAGGTAAAATGTATATTCTACTGAATATTATTTCCCACCACTTTTTTCTAAAAATTTGGCAACATATTCCTTAAGAAAACATATTCATAAAAAAGAAAATGTATCTATAATATACAATATGTAAAAATATAGAAAAAAATTAAAAAATTTCTCTAAAGGAAATCATTACATTCTGGTACTATATATTCTAAAGATGTCCCAAATAACTAATCAGCAAAGTAAAAGGCTTAGGCCTAAGTTTAATTCCTAGTTTCTTCACCTACCAGTAATGAATAATTTTCAGCATTTTTCCCAGGCTGGTCTTCAAACTCATGGGTTCAAGTGATTCTCCCACATCAATCTCACAATGCTACCACACCTGGCTTCAGCAAACTGTTAAATCTTTTGTGCCTCTGTTTCACTTAAGATTGTACTTCAGAACAATAAATCAGAATTTCTAAATCCTTTTCTTTTAGAACTGTCAGATGATTAAAATGCTATATGTAAAGCTAGGCAAGGTAGTGTAAATCTGTAGTCCCAGCTACCTAGGAGGCTATGATGGGACGATTGCGTGAGCCCAGGAAGTTTGAGGCCACCCTGGACAACAAAATAAAACTCGGTCTCAAAAAAAAAAGTTGATGGGCATGGGCTGCATTCAAGGCCTTGTCTCAAAATAAAAAAACAAAAAGGGCTAAGGATGTGGCTCAGTGGTTAAGCACCCTGGGTTCAATCCCTGGTACAAAAAAAAAAAAAAAAGTTGAAAAATCACTTCTTGCTGATTCAGAACCAGTCCCCTAATAGTTTACAGAATCTGTTCTCTGTGTGTGTGTGTGTGTGTGTGCCTATGCTCATGCGCATGTATATATGTGCACATGTGCACTTGTATGCATTTATACATGGTACTGGTGATCAAACCCAGGGCCTCATGCTTACTGGCAAAGCTCTACCACTGGTGGAATCTGCTAATTTTATACAAGATGCACTGATAGGCTAAAGAGAGATAACAAAAATAAAACTAAGCAATGATTCAAGCATCAGAAGTAAAGAGACAATATATTTTTCTAGAACATCCAGGAAGTCAGTCATCAAAATGTAGTGAAGATGCATTTTTCTTACAAGAAAATCTCAAAATTCCAAAAAAGGGGGACAATTTTGTGAAAGTCTCTATAATACTAAATTTAAATTGTGATGAATAAAAAAATGCCTTTATAACAACAAAGGGATAGCATTCACTCCTTCCAAGTTCTGTCAATTTAAATGTACCTAAAGCACTATTACCAGAAGATACGCTGGTTTTTCCTCAGACTGTTTTAGTATACCTTTGAAAAGCAAGACCCTCAATATCAGTTCTTAACTGATACCTGCTCTTTTCATTTTTCAAGTTTCACAAATGGCAAAGGAACAGAAAATTCAAATATATTATTAAAACTCTTCATTAGGCCCTACTCCCAGTCAGCCAGATCTTTTGTTTTAAGGAAATGGCTCAGGATAAAGCAAAAGTGACTCCCTCCCTGTTTTCTGACTAGATGCCTGCTATGTTGTGCTTCCCTAGCTAGAGGATAGGATCTTTGCTTCCCAGTATCACCAACTCTGCCAGCACACTGAAGTTGGTATTCCCTTATTATTCTAGAGTACGGAGAATATGACTAATGAAATCAGGTTTTCAAGTCAGGGGACAACTATAAAGACTGTATAGAGATGAATCTTCCCTCTACCTTTTTTTTTTTTTTTTTTTTTTGGTCAGGGGAATAGTGGGGAGTGAACCCAGGGGAGATTTACCACTCTGTTACATGCCCCTCTTTTAAAATTTGGAAAAAGGTTCTAAGTTACTAAGAGTCTCACTAAATTGCTGAGGCTAGTCTTGAACTTGTGATCCTCATACCTCAGTTTCCCAAGTCACTGGGATTACAGATGTAAGCCACTACATCACTTCTGTGTATGTGTGTGTATGTTTGAGGGTGGGGATTCTGGGGATGAAATCTATGCTCACAATCACTCTATCACTGAGTTTTATCCCTAGCCCTTTTCCTCTCTTATCCTACTTCTTTCAACACTAGAAATCCCCTTAATCATCATAGTTATGAGAAGAGTTGGCTTTCCCTTCAATCTACTACAAATAAGAGCGGAGATCAGCTGGGTATGGTGGCACATGCCTGTAATCCCAGCAACTCCAGAAGCTGCAGCAGAAAGATTGCAAGTTCAAGGCCAGCCTCAGCAAATTTAGCAAGACCCTGTCTCAAATAAAAACATTTTTTAAAAATGGTTAGTGATGTAGCTCAATGATAGAGTACCCCTGGATTCAATCACCAGCACTTTTTCTTTCTTTTTTTTTTTTTCCTCCCCTGAAGAAAAAGTAAATTGAGCTCTAGGGGAAAAACCACCAAGACAAAGAAACATACAAAAGACAATTACTAGCCAGGCTCAGTAGCACACACCTGTAACCCTAGCCACCTGGAAGACTAAAATCACAGGTGTGACATCAGATTGGATAATTTAGTCAGACTCTGTCTCAAAATAAAATAAAAAAAGGCTGGGGGTGTAAGCTCAGTGGTAAAGCATTTGCCTAGCATGTGGGAGGCTCTGGGTTCAATTCCCAGTGCTACAAAAACAAAGAAAACAAAACTCCACCACCCTATACTTGAGATCTGAGACCATTAAAATAGTGTTCCTATATTCAACTGGAATAAGAAGACTCTAGGCTGAAGTGTAGGCAGGGGACACTGAAGATAGGATGGAATAGAGAAAAGTGTTTCTGGACATGCCCATAGAGAAGTCACACAGTAGATACCCTAGCCTACTGTACTTCTCTTTTTTTTTAATATTTATTTTTTAGCTGTAGATGGACACAACACAATGCCTTTATTTTTATGCGGTGCTGAGGATCGAGCATGGGTCCCGCCCATGGTAAGCGAGGGCTCTACCGATGAGCCACAATCCCAGCCCCCATACTTCTCTTAAAGCTTAATCCATGTATTTGTTTACATTTTTTGACCCAAAGACCATCACTATGAATTTACCTTAAAGACATGCTATATGTCTGAACTCATTCATGGTAGCATTATCTATAATAAAGGAAAAACTGTAAACAACCTACAAGTCCCAATATAAGTCCTATTAAGAAATTATAAAGATCAAAGAGAAACATGGATAATATTTACTATATGGGAAATAGAAAACTAAAGGACACACCATCACAACGCATGCATGCTTGCTTGGTTCCTTCTTTTTGCAGTACTGGGAATTGAACACAGGACATTCTATCTCTAAGCTACATTCCCAGTCCTTTTTAATGTCTTAAATTTTGAGACAGAATCTAGCTAAGATGTCCAGGCTGGCCTTGAGCTTGTGTTCCTCTTGCATCAGCCTCCTGGGTAGCTGAGATTACAGGCATGAGCCACCATGGCTAGCCACAATGTTTTATTTATATATTTAGTTAGTTAGTTACCTTTTAGTTCTAACAGTTTTCGCTACTTTTTAAAACTAAAATTACTTAAAACATTTTAAGGTGCAAGTATCATTCATTATGGTAATAGGTGATAAGGATCAAATGTGATGCTATAAATCAGATCTAAAACTCCCCTGGCTATAAAGGGAAAACAGGAAGCCCAAACACCGGGAAGCACAAAGGACAATGACATACTGATATCACTGATCACAAGAAAGTAGTCCATTTATATGAAATCACTGTGGTAGTTAGTATGATGAACTGGGAAACTGCAACCATAAGGAGGCTATAAGAAAGTGTGCATGAAGTGTCTTTCAACTTATTAGGATATATTTATTATAAGCACAGTGCAGCAAGCTTTTATAGACAAAACCTCATAACTGCTAGTAAGGAAGGCTATGCAGAGGTAGTTGGGCCTGCAATAAAAAAGACCACCACAAATGGAATCAGGTATTATATCACCCCAAGTGAGGTTCCCTCCTTACACTATGCCAGTTCGATGAAACAAACTGCTCAATGGAACATAATAGCTTCTGCTTAACCTAAGTACACAAAATTCTGGTAAATTATTTTAGGCTACAATCTAATAACCTTTCATAATCTTTTACTGCAAGTCAAAAAGAATACAGCCCATAATAAAACATGTGTGCATAAAAGAACAGGACTTGAATATTTTAGAATAAATAGGAAAGGCTTATAGCTATTTATAGTAGAGAAGGATGACATATGTAGCATATGTAGCTTAGAATATTCTAAAAATGCAAAATAGACTGTGAATGTTTTGTTGTTGTTGTTGTTGTTGTTTTAAACATCTTTCTCACTTCTAAGTGAATTATGCTTTAAATTACCAGGTACTTAATCTTTAACTGAAGAAAGATGTGGTAACAATAACTAAACATAATAATGTTTTTTTTTCCTGCTTCTGAAGGCCTTAAAATAAAGCTTTACTGGGGCTGGGGTTGTAGCTCAGTGGTGGAGTGTTTGCCTAGTGCATGTGAGGCACTGGTTTGATCCTTAGCACCACATAAAATAAATAAACAAACAAATAAATAAAAGTATTGTGTTAATCTACAATTAAAAATATTTAAAAATATATATCTAGCTTTTCTGAAAATCTTTTACTTTCTTTATAGTCTACTCTAACTACTACTTTTCACTGGAAACTGAGAAAATCAGCAGAAAATCATAAGTATAAAAAGAAAATGATGGAATGGACTTGTGATGTGTCTTGAAGAAGTAAGTGTCAGATGTTCATAGTCACACCCTATATAAAGGCCTAGAAAGAACCAAGGTTCACATTAGATGGGCATCCCTGTGGCAAACTCTTCAGTTTTCAGATATATTTAGGTCCTAACCTAAGTGGGGTATTTCCACAGAAAATTTGTATTAGTATTTAAAATTTTATAGGGTACCTAAAAATCCTATAATCCATAAAAGGAATGATATGTAATGATGAATGAAACATCTGTCCTAAATTTATATGAACTCTAAAATAGGAAGTCCTAATATTGTTGACCTTTAGACTCTCTGCCTTATATTTAACCCAAAACATTTATATACTTTAAGCCATCTTTCTTGTGGTTTAGCTTCAAACTATGCAAAGGGTCACTGGCTGTTCTTAAATCTGTGTTATAATACTTCCTATAGGAAAGTGATAATACTCTAATTAAAAGGAATCCTTTTATGCAAAGCTTTCTGATGTAGTCTTTGAAGACTGATTTACTAAATCTCATACTTCCTTGCAGTATACCTTGACTTAAATGGACTATGCAAATTTAGGTTTCCAAATGCCCAAAGCTCAGAAAATTTATCTTCTGGTCTCATGCTATAACCATGACCTCAGCTACCCCACACATGCTTCTTCCAGACATTACTGAATAAAGCAATCAACCTTAATTATTGCAGGTAGCTGAACCCAGGTTAAAAACAAAAATCAATTTTAAATACATTCCACAAAGCTTTACAGAAGCAAAACAAAACAAACAACAAACAAAACAAAAAAATCACAATTATTAAAAAGCTGATTTTTGCTTAAAACACCAAGCAAGGAATGGACATATGAAGATTCCTAACCTGCAAAATGATTCCTCCACATTATATCAGCGAAACTCATTGGTGGGCCACTGGGAGGGTAGTGTTTACCTTTCAGAGGCTCATGATCAGTCCTTATCATATCCATTAAGGAGTTCTCCAAGGAGTGCAAGTTAAAAGTGTCATAAGGCCTACTCCGGTCCTAAAAATAAAAACACAGAACAAGACGATACATAAAATTACTTCATAAAGTAAATACCAAATTATTTGCTTCCTGCTGTGGATTGATGACATGAATGAAAGTTAAAGATATTTCTAAAAACACAGTCCTTCCTTTCACTAAGACTAATGATTTGGCCTATTAAATTTAATTCTAGTTTCCAAAATTAATTAAATTGAATCCTCTTCCCTAATATTTTATAAAGTCAATGCCTCACTAATGGACACTGATTTTCTCTCAAATGAAGTGAAAAAGTAAATTCAAAAGGGTCAAGTGAATTAGCTTTGCCCTCTACCTTCCACCCCATGCCTCCATTGTTAAATGAATAGAAATTTCTCCCACCCCCAGAGAACCACAATGTTAGTACTCAGTTTACAAACAGACTCACTTCTCTGAAGAATGAAAAGGTGATTATCATTTTAATGTAATTGTAATGGATATCTTTAATATTATGACTGATAAATTCCATACTTCAGATACACTAATAAAAATGTGACCAAAGTACTAAAATTACCTTCAGAAAAGCACTAATAAAAAAATTTTAACTCAAAGTAGTATTTCCATGATGTATAAGTAAAAAACAATTTGAAAAGGGAAAGCTACTACAAACTAAGTGAAAAAGGGGAAAACAAAACAAAACAAAAAAACCCTGTTCCACCATATTTCACTCCAGCCCACCAGAGACCATAAGCTACAAGTTCTTCAAGTCTAAACCTAATGGGAAGTGTAGTTTATGGCCTAAGGTAATTCTATAAAATAGACTTTGATTGCTTTATTTAAGAAAGGCAAGAGTCTGGCAACGTGGGAGGCTGAGGCAGAAGGACTGTAAATTCAAGGCCAGCCGGGGCAATTTAACAAGACCCTATCTCAAAATAGGAAAGAAAAAAAAAGGGGGGGCTAGGGGTATCACTCAGTAGTAAGAGACCTCTGGGTTCAATCCTTAGTACTACCAAGAAAAAATAAAACAACAACAACAAAAAAAAGACATACATCTCAACAGCCAAATCAAATCAAACTACAGTGTACAATTTATCCAGCCTTGCACTAACACTTACTTTCTACACATGATTCTATTCAGTAAACTTGGGAAGTAAATTGAAGGAAGGGAATAGAAGAGAAGCAGCATCAATAAACAGCCAGCCATTTTGCAGAAAGCCAGCTTTGTAGTTTTCTGATTATGGATTAGACAGGCAGTTGGTGAGTTAAATTTTAAAAGCACAAACTGGCAGGGTGTGGGTAGAAAGCTGAGGCAGGAGGATCACAAGCCTGGGGCCAACCTCAGCAACTTAGTGAGGCCCTAAGCAGCTTAGTGAAGCATCTCAAAATAAAAAATAAAAAGGACTGGGGATGTGGCTCTGAGGCTAAGCTAAGCACCCTTGAGTTCAATCCAAGTACCATAAAAAAAAAGCACAAACTGGAATCAAAATCTGATTTTCAAATTCTGCCTCTCCAATTAACTGACATGTCACTTTGAAAAAATTTCTAAGCCTTGGTCATCTTCATCTACAAAATGGGGATGATAATTCCCTCTTCATGGTTGTTTTCAGTACTAAAAGATAGAATGTACAACAAGGCATCTGTACTATGTACCTACTATAATAGTAGGAATAATTCAAAAAGACTTCTGTGATAACACTGGAACACAGATTTAAATCCTCAGAAGGTCACAATGCTAACCCAGCAGAGTTCACTTATGTTTAACAGATAAAGACATATGCCATGTGAAAAGCATGACAGAATTGTCATAGGCTTCTTAACTGAGAAAACTTCAGTCCTCTAAGAGACTTATTTTCTCATTAAAATTAATTCCATTCATGCCTCATCAATTTATATTTGCTGCATACCATTCATCTTTTTTGTTTTACAAGTACTAAACGATGCTGAAATAACTGATTAATCAGGAATCCAGCAAGACACAGAACAGAAAGTACAGAGAAACTGAAAAATCTGTAGTGAAATTCAAAGGAAATCATGTACAGGGAAAAGGCAGCCACAATTTAGCGTTCAACTATAAAAGTCATAAGTAGCAACTTACCTGTTAGATTTTTTTTGTAAGTTTTGTTTCCCAATATAAGCAAAAAGAAAATATTTCTCTTTTTTTGTTTGTTTGCTTTTAACAAGCAAGCACACCAAGAAGCATTAGGACATCTATAAATAATAGATCCCATTACTGACTCTTTTTCTTTAAAGATAATCAATGGCAGACATTATCAGTTAGTTATATATATAGGAGCAGCCCACCCCCACTATATAATCACTGCTTTTTTTTTCTTTCCCTGCTTGACTTAATATTAATAAATTTGTCAAGAATTTAAAATTACCTCACAACTCTATAAAGGAGGTAACTTTTGGCACCATCTTATAAATTAAGCAAGCAAATCTTGGACAGATTAAGTAACTGGCTGAAGGTTATGGGGCTAATAAATGGCAGGGCTCAAATTTAGTCAAATCCAGACAAGCTCTTAAGGACTTTTACTGTACCACCTTCCTGACTTCCTCCTACTCTCTTCAGTATTAAGTGTTTCTACACATACACCCTTCACTCCCTTTAGCCTAATCCTAACATGATCCAGAGAGGTCTCTCTGACTTCACTCTGCCATATAAGCAATCTCTCACTTGCCCTTGGTGAATTACTCTTGTTCAAGTGACAATTAACCTCAAGAAGCAGTCTGATCTACTCACCAGCACGGCCCGAGTCTACCTGTACTACTAGCCCATCCCATTTACTCATTCTTTTCTTTTATGTTCAATAGTAGGGATTGAATCCAGGGGTACCTATCATTGAGCTACATACCCAGTCCTTTTTATTTTTAGACAAGGTCTTGCTAAATTGCTGAGCCTGGCCTTGAACTTGCAATCCTCCTGCCTCAGCCTTCTAAATCTTGGGATTACAAGTATGTGCCACCATGCCCAGTTTACCTGCCTTTTACTTGGGAGAGGAATCCAGGACCTCTTTATACAATTTCTGGCTTATACCCAGGTCTTTTCTCTCCTAGAGACACGAAGTAAAAGACTGCAAAGATCAACAGTATCTGCAAAAATTAAAGTAGGTCTGGAACTAAATGATAAGATTAACTATGATGGCTTCTCAATCCTCACCACACCACCCTGCAGGGTAGGTATTATCTCTGAATCAGAGGGGAAAACATGCTCACAGAGTTATATAACTGCTCAAAGTCACAAAGCTGATCAGAAATCAGGATATGAACCTGTCTATGATTCTCATGTCCATGCCAATAATATTCCAATGCTTCCACCCTGATTACCTGCAGTGTGTCTCATGAACATTGGGGGCATAGTTGGGGAGAATGGGACATAGAATAGACCAAAAATCAAAAGGTGAGAAGATATCTGAAAGGGCTAGGAAAGGACAGATATGCTTATAAAATAATACAGAAAAACAAAAAGAGGAATTCCTGAAGGAAGGCTTTTCTATTCATCATATGACTTTAATATATACATAGATAAAACATTTCAAAGTTAAATGATTATAACACCAAGAAATCATAAAACTAGTCATTTCTAAGTTTCTACCCTACTGTTCTTACTTTCTACCATAGTACATACTATTTGAAAAATGCTGTATGTCTTCTTCCACTCTCCATATCACTATATATATTTGGCATGTATTCTTGCAAATATTTAAAAATGCAGAGTTGGAACTCTATATGTATTGATTTCACATTCATGGATTCAACCAACCATAAATTGAAAATATTTGAAAAAAAACTGCATCTGTATTGAACATCTACAGATTTCTCATTATTGTTATTATGTATTATAAGTAATCTAGAGATAACAAAAAGTATAGGAGGATATGCACAGGTTATATGCAAATTCTATGCCATTTTATACAAGGGACTTAAGCATCTGTGGATTTTGGTATCTACACAGAGATCCTGGAACCAACTCCCATGAATACCAAGGGATTCTTTTTCTATATACGTACCTATAGAAAATACATTCAGTCTTATATTATTTTTTCCTGTAAACATAAAAGTGGGCATACTGTTGTGAAACTTGCTTTCTTCAACCAATAATAGATATGTACTTCTATCTCCCCCACTTATCAAAGACACATCCTTCCTACAAAGTAAATACAAGGTTAACTTCCTTAAGAGAAATCAAGTAATCATCCAACTACACATTTTATAAAATAATTTGATTTTGAAATTTCTTCCCATCCCTCAGTTTTCTCAAAATTTCTATTCTAGGCCTTTAGTTGCATCTCTTCTATGTCCTCCACAACTTTGGCACTACGGTTCCTCACTCCCTAGTGTCTATGAAGGATACCTCTAACAAAGAAAGAAAAGGATCTGTGGAACTTGTCACCCTGATTGCCTCACCAAAGAGACAATACTCCAAAGTTCAACATGAAGTGATTTCAAGTACAGAATTTGTTTAGGAACACCAAAAGAACAGACAGGATTCCATGATGAATTTTAAATTAGATCAGTAGTAACAAACTTCCAAAGTATTGCAGAGCAGAAGTCTAGGAATTTGTACTTCTAAACCAATTACTGCTGTTATTTGTCACAACCTGTCAAAAGCAAGAGGTTTTTATATCAAATTGAACTTTGCTGAAGTAGCAAGCAGCCTAGCATACATTTGCCTTAATATTAAAACTGCTTCCAAAGAAAGGGGAAACCTAACCTCACTAACCTGAGAGGAAGGGAAAAAAGCTTCTCAAATGTAGATTTTCTTCTCAAGTATCAAGTCCTCAATCAATGGTATATTGTAGCCAGGCATGGTGGCACTCAGGAGTCTGAGGCAGGAAGATCACAAGTTTGAGGCCAGCCTCAGCAACTTAGACTCTATCTCAAAATAATAAAAAAAAATTAAAAAAAATAAGGGCAAAAAATAAAAAGGAATGAGGGTTTTAACTATCCCCAGTGAGACTACTAATAAAGTACAGGCCTCTGGAAAAGGTGAATCTATACTCTCCTTCAGTTACACAAGGGCAAGCAAGTGCTCCTTACATCTAACCTAAAGTCCTTATGAAATTGAAACTTTTCCCTTTTCTGTTGGGAGTGGAGAGAATAAACTAAATTTGCTGTGAATGTTAATATTCCTTAAAATTGTTAAACATTGTCTTCAATGCAATAAAAATACTCACAAACCCTTAATACAGCTTGGAATAAGATTAGGCATGTCCCAATGTTTCTTTCTTTCTCTTCCTTTTTTCCTTTCTTCCTTTCCTTTCCTTTCCTCCTTCCTTCCTTCCTTCCTTCATTTATTTTTCCTGGCAGTACTAAGGATTGAACTCACAGGTACTTTACCACTAAACTACAGCATCAGCATTTGCACTCCTTCTGCCTTAGCCCCCTGATATGCTGGGACTATAGGCATGCATCATCACACCCTGGTCCCATCTTTTTCTGCTTGAGGATGACTAATTCATATTACCTAACCTTTCTTTATCAGATTACACTTTTCCTTGCAGTGTAATAGCAAACCAAGCTAACTAAGATTCTGGAAAGATTAAAAAAAAACTGAGAATAGTTTCACTTGCTCTGAAGGATGCTCAAAAATTAGGTGAGCATGACTCAACTGGAAGCACATTTCTGTCTTGTCTCTTCCTGTTCCCCACAGTCCTAATCTTCTTTCACAGCTCTTCACATTGGTTTTGGTCAGGCAGATCAGATAAGAGACTCAGTATATCAGATACAGGGAAACACAGCTCTTGGAATCCCTTATTCACCTGAAGTGACCCTACATACTGAGGCCAAATCCCTCAGGGAAAATTCTAGAGGGGTCAACTGTATAAAAATTGCAAATGTCTGATGCAGCTGCTACTGACTCTGGTAAATAGTGCATAGTTGAGTAGTACATAAGCACTTTTTTTAAAAAGAATGATTATAGGGTTTGGCAGTGTGCTAGGTAAAAGACAGAGATGAGCAGATACAGAAAGATACATAAAGGTAAAAAGAAAGCAGTGACTACAACTTAAAGTTTTCCCTTCCCCTGGTTACTGTGCAAGTGTGACTTCTGAAAGTAATTAGCTGATGTCACTTCAAGTCATTGTGTAGTTAGCCAGCAGGATATTATCACAAGTAGCTTAGTAGGCATTTATAGATATAATAATGTAAAGGGAGCTTGACCTTTGCTACCAAAACCTAGCCTTAAACATGATGCGAAAGTACATGTGGCTCCTCATATTCTTATCTTTTTACTGATCATAAACATCAAAATCCTTCTACAACATGGACCACATCCAGCTAAACACATCCAGTTAAACACTTCTTCCACCCCATATAACATGACTCCAGGTAACAGCACTAACTTAGTATATCATATTTACTTCTTTACGTGCCTGTCACCTTCAACAAACTGTAAGTCCCATGGCAGCAGAGGTATATCTTATTTCTATATTCCCATTACTACAAAAGAGCTTAGCACATGGTAGATATATAGTAAATGCTTGTTTCATATTTAAATTGTCATTCTGGTGATTTCATTTTGCATAATTTTCACTTGAAACTAACAAAAACTTCACATATATTATAAAGGCTTTTTTTTAAAAAAAATCCAAGCTGGGTGTGGTGGTGCACTCCTGTAATCCCAGCAGCTTGAGAGGCTGAGACAGGAGGATCACAAGTTCAAAGCTAATCTCAGCAACTTAGTGGGGCACTAAGAAATTTAGTGAGATCCTATCTCAAATTTTAAAAAATAAAAAGGGGTGGGGATGTAGCTCAGTGGTTAAGTGCCCCCGTGTTCAATTCCCAGTACCAAAAAATTAATTAATTAATTAAAAATTTAAAAATCCAAAAAACTCTGACATTTCCAAAAGTTGACTAGGATGCAGAACAACCAGAACTCTCAAAAATTGCTGGTGAAAATGCAAAATGGTACCACCACTTTGGAAAAACAGTTATCAGTTTCTTATAAAGTTAAACATAAGCTTAATTTCAAAATTTAGCAGACCACTCCTAAGTATTTACCCAAGATAAATAAACATACATGTTCACATAAAATCTTGCACATGGGTGTTTATAACAAAGGTATAAAACAAGTTTATTCACAGTTTCCCAGAACCAAAAACTACCCAAATGCCATCAACCAAGGAACAGATAAACAAATTATGGTATATTCATATAATGAAATATTACTCACCAAATAAAAACAAATGAATACAGAGCTATAGTAACAAAAACAGCATGGTATTGGCACCAAAATAGACTTGTAGACCAACGGTGCAGAATAGAGGACACGGAGACAAACCCACATAAATTCAGTTATATCATACTAGACAAAGGTGCCAAAAATATTCAGTGGAGAAAAGATAGCCTATTCAACAAATGGTGCTGGTAAAACTAGAAATCCATATGTAGCAAAATGAAATTAAACCTCTCTCACCTTGCACAAAAATCAACTCAAAGTGGATCAAAGACTTAGGCATTAGAACAGAGACCCTGCGCCTAATAGAAGAAAACATAAGTTCAAATCTTCACCATGTCGGCCTAGCATCTGACTTCCCTAACAAGACTCCTAAAGCACAAGAAGTAAAATCAAGAATCAATAAATGAGATAGATTCAAATTAAAAAGTTTCTTCTCAGCAAAGGAAACAATAATGTGAGGAGAGAGCCTACAGATTTGGAGAAAATCTTTACCACATGCACCTCCAATAAAGCATTAATCTCTAGGATATATAAAGAACTCAAAAAACACCAAAAAAAAAAAAAAAACAATCAATAAATGGGCAAAGGAACTGAACATATACTTCTTGGAAGAAGAAACACAACTGATCAACAAATATATGAAAAAGTGTTCAATTATCTCTAGCAATTATAGAAATGCAAATAAAAACTACACTAATATTTCATTTCACTCCTGTCAGAATGTCAATCATCAAGAATACAGGTAACAATAAACATTGGCAAGGATGTGGGGAAAGAGGCACATTCATACATTGCTGGTGGAACTGCAAATTGATACAACCACTCTGGAAAGAAGTATGGAGATTCCTCAGAAAACTTGGAATGGAACCACCATTTGCCCCAGCTATCCCACTCCTCAATTTATATCCAAAGGACTTAAAATCAGCATACTACAGTAATGCAGCCATGTCAATGTTTATAGTTGCTCAATTCACAATAGCTAAACTATGGAAGCAACCAAGGTGTCCTTCAACAGATGAATATATATATCACATTTTCTTTATATATATAATTAATTTAAAGATGAATGAAATCATGGCATTTGCCAGTAAATGGATAATCAGAGAATAACATGCTAAACCAAATAAGCCAATCCCCCAAAATCAAAGGCTGAATGTTTTCTCTAACATGTGGATGCTAAATCACAATAAAGATGTGCGGGGGGTGTGGTGATGGTGGGGGTGTGGTGGGGGTGGGGGTGGGGGTGGGGTGGGGGTGTGGTGGGGGTGGGGGAAGGCACTAGAGAAGAATAGCTTAGATTAGGTAGAGGGAAGTGAAGCGAGGGGAGGGGAGGGGATATAGGGATAGGAAAGATAGTAGAACAAAACAGACATTATTTCTTTCTTTTTTTTTTTTTTTAAATATTTATTTATTTATTTTAGTTTTCGGCGGACACAACATCTTTGTTTGTATGTGGTGCTGAGGATCAAACCCGGGCCGCACGCATGCCAGGCGAGCACGCTACCGCTTGAGCCACATCCCCAGCCCCAGACATTATTTCTTTACGTATATATGTGACTGTATGATCAAAATGACTCTACAACATGTACACTCAGAAAAATGAGAAACTATATCCCATCTACGCAGAAATGCATTCTACTATCATGTATAACTAATTAAAACAAATTTTTAAAAATTAAAATTAAAAAAACAAATGAAGTATTGATACTATGATGCCATAACATAGATGAACTTCTTGAAAACATTATGATACATGAAAGAAGGCAATCACAAAGGATCACATATTGTATGATTCCATTTACATGAAATGTCCAGAAAAGGCAAATTATCGATAAAGATAGCAAGTAGATTAGTGAGAATTGATTGCAAAGAGCATGGAGTCTCTTTTTGGGGTGACAAACATAGGTCCAGAATTGAATACTGAGGCACAATTTTATAAATACACATAATTCTATAATTTAAAAACATAGAAGCCAAAATTTCGGCTCCATGGTAGAGCGCTTGCCTAGCATGCGTAAGGCACTGGGTTCAATCCCCTGCACCAAATCAAATAAAATAAAGGTATTGTGTCCATTTACAACTAAAAAAAAATTTTTTTAAAGGTAAACTTATATCAATAAAGTTACTTTTTAAAGCCTTTTTAATGTTTTACCAAAAACCATGATACTACCTACTAATCATCAACCTTATGTATAGGATATAAGACTTAATTACTTTGTGTGTACTAGTGTGAGGCGTACTGGGAATTGAACCCAGGACTGCACTACCATTGAGGCAAATATTTAGCCCTTTTTATTTTTTATTTTGAGACAATGTCTTGCTAAATTGAGGTTGACCTCAAGCTTGCAATCCTCTTACTAACTCAGTTTCCTAAATTGCTGGGATTATAGGTATGTACCACCATGACCAGCTCTTAAAAACTTTTTTTTTGTAAGAAAGCAAAGTCAAAGCTCTAGCTGTTCCATTCAGGAGCTACTAAAGGACCCAAGTAATTAAACCTAAAGCAGACAGCAGTAAAATTTAAAAAGCAATCTTATTGCCAAATAACTAATGTCATCTATCTTATGTGTGCCATATTTCTGAGGATGTCTTCAAACTCCTTCAGGAATCTACGGATAATTACTGAACATATTATCTATAAACAGCATCTTCTTATGTCTCCCATTGCTCCTGATGGATGAATAATTTATGTGTGTGTGTGTGTGTGTGTACACACACACACATATATATATTATAAATATATAAAAGACAAATTTTTGGTATATATATATATATGTGTGTGTGTATATAAATGTGTGTGTATGTATATATACACACACACACGTATATGTTGTGTGTTCTTCAGTGACTCAGCTCATCCCATTTATGACTAGGGAGCGACTTAAAATGATCTAGTATCCACCTAGAAGCATTACTGGAACATAAAAAATACCTATAAGTCTACTTTGCTACTGTTTATTTCAACTGTTATTTGAGTTGAGTGGTTGGGTGAGATGTGCAGCAGAATTCGCAGATTCATCAGAATCTGACAGGGGCCGCGACGTGAACGCTTCTGCTGTGGCCCCCTGTTATCCTCTTGACCCTCGGAGTTAGGAACTGAGTAGCTGCTTTTATGCAAAAAGTCCTATGGCAATGAAAGCCATAAAGCAACATATACCAGTTTGGACTAAAAGTGTTCTAGGGTTCTCCCCTATTTCAGGATCCAAGTGATAATGGCCAGCTCAGGTATGCACAGATTACAGATTATGGATTGTAGCTCTTCCTTGTTACTCCCTGGCCACCACTAGAGAGGTCACCAATGTACGTGTGTGTATGTTTTAAAACAAAGAACCTGGTAAGTAACAAAGAAACTCACTCCAAGTTGATCATCTAGGACCAGAGAAATAGAAGCACATAACCTCGTTCTCAGTTTCCTGAGAAAAAAACTCCTCTCTTCTGGTGGAAGAAAAACACTGAACAAACAAACAGAAATCCTACATCTCGAACTGTTCTGATTCCAGATAAAAATGAGACAAAGAAAACTGAGCCAGGTGTGGTAGTGCATGCCTGTAAACCCAGCCACCCAGGAGGCTGAGGCAGGAGGATCATAAGTTCAAGGCCAGTCTTGGCAATTTAGTGAGATCCTGTCTCAAAATAAAAAATAAAAAGAGCAAGGGAAACAGCACAATGGTAGAGCATCCCTGGGTTCAATCCCCAGTACCACTCCTCCCAAAAAGAAAGAAAGAAAAAAATAAAGCTACTAAACTGCCACTGGGAAAGGTAAATGGATGTATATATTGTTTTCCATAATAAGTCCTGTAAAACTGATTCATAGCTACCATGTAATCGGTGATTAATATGTGCCAAATCCTGTGCTGAGTACTTAACTTGAATTACCTCACTTAATTTTTACAAAAGTCCTATGAGGCAAGTATTATTACAAACCCTCTTTTACAGATGAAGAAATATTAAAGTCAGTCCTTAAAAATCAGGTATCCCTGAAGAAAGCTAGCCACACATAAATTATTTATCATGTGAGCACAAAGAAGAAAAGAGTATTTAAGTCTATAGCCTAATCTTCCATTTAAATGTTACCACATTTAACAGATGAGTATGTTAAAGCATCTAAAATGCAAAGCATCTAAATTTGTTAAAATTTTGGTATTTAGAAGGTTATAAAATTTACTTTAAAATAAAGCTTCACCACTCAAGTAATAATATTTTAAGATATTTAGAAATTATAAAGTAAAATTCAATAAGATTAAGGAAGATTCAGTTAGAATTTCCAAAATGTCCATATCATAGAATATTTTCAGGCACCAGAAATTGAATATCTGAGCCACATCCAGCCTTTTTTATTTTTTAATTTTGAGACAGTCTTGCTAAGTTACTTAGGGCCCTGATAAAAATTTCTGAGGCTGTCCTCAAACTCGAATCCTCCTGTCTCATCCTTAAATTGCTGGGATTTCAAGCATGCGCCACAGTGCCTGGTCAGAATATTTTTTAAAAGAACAGACTTCTTGTAATTCCAGCTACTCAGGAGGCTAAGAACAGGAAGATGGCAAGTTTAGGGTCAGCCTGGGAAATGTAGTGGGACCCTTTAAGAAGGGCTGGGGACAAAGCTCAGTGGTAGAGCACCTTTGGGTTCAATGGGGGTACGGGAGGAGTTTCAAAGAGAAACAGATTTTTTAATCACTTTTAAATGTTAGTGCTAACAAAATTTTGCCAAATGTGCTGAGAACTATTTTACTCTTTCTTCATTTATTCCACATATTTATTGGGAATTTTAATATGCCAAGCA